GAATCTCATTTTTTTTGCCCAAGCTATCATTTGATCTATTCTTCCAGTTTAGCACGCAGTAAATAACTATACAATTTTTAAATCATTCACTCTTCTGTTCCTGTAAGTATCTCATCCAATTCTGTCCTCCATGTGAAAACCATATAATTTAGCATCTTTTTCATATCTAGATTGTATCTGCAATTGTGTGTACCAAACCATGTCAAACCCTTGTTCTTCTAATTCTTGTTTCTATTTAAGTTCCCCCTTTTCTGTCAAAATATTTTTATATCTAACAATGTTTCCCAAATTAATAATATTTGGATGAAAGCCAAGGTTTAAACCTTCAAATAGCATTTTTCTCTCACTTTCTCCCATACTAATAATAAAGTATTACTTATATGTCTTTGAAAATAACTATGCATCTTGTTTTTCCCATACCATAGAAGGGCATGCCAACCCAACTTAAGTCATGTCCCTCCAATGTTAATAACCTTGTATTTCTCAGTACAATCCATTCTTTCATCCATGATAACACTGCTGCTTGATAATATAATTCCCAATTTGGTAACCCAAACCCTCCTCTGATTCTTGCATCTTGTAACATTTTAAAATTAATTATCGCTTTTTTCCCATGCCATATATATTTCACTATTATTTTATTGAGATTTTTAAAATATTTTTTTTCAAACTTTATCAGGATTGTTTGGAATAAAACCAGCAATATTGGTAAAATGTTCATTTTAATCGTTGCTATTCTTCCGATTAACGATAATTGCAGATTCTTCCATCTCTCCAAATCTATCTCAATTTGTCTTATCAATTTATAGTAATTAACTTCCTTTATTGCTACACATCTTGCTGTTAATTGAATTCCTAAGTATCTTACTTTTTTAGTAATCTGAATAGCAAACTTTTCTGTTAACTTCCTTTTCTGCTTCTCTGTAATATTTTTCACTAATATTTTCATTTTTTCTTTGTTAATTTTCAACCCTGCCACTTCACCATATTTTTCTATTTGTTCTAATAGTTTTGGTCGTTTCATGTGGATCTTCTAAAATACTGACTAAATCATCTGCGAATTTATATCCTTTTTAAATTTTCATACCTTTTATCTCATTATCCTGTCTTATGTTTCTATTTAATACCAATGTCAATACAAATAGCAGTGGGGATAAGGGACATCTCTATGTTGTGCAATTCATAATATTAACCTTCTCTGTCCTATCTCCATTTACCATCACCTTTGCCGATTGCTTGTGATAAATTATCTTAATCATATTTATAAATCTCGCCCCAAAATCCAGTCTCTAATTGCATTATCATAAATTGCCAGTTCATGTTGTCAAACATCTTCTGTGCATCCAGAAAGATCAACACCATGTTTTTCTTGGTGAGCTTCCAGGGTGTTGAAAATTATTCTCTGTTGTCTCTAATCTGTCTCTTAGATGGAAAGCTATTTTGATCTGTGTGTATAAATTCATGTAAAAGTCTTTCAGCCATTATCGAAGCAAATATCTTCTAGTCCGCATTTAAAAGGGAAATCAGTCTATCATTTTTTATCTGTTGCAGGTCTGCATCTTCTTTTGGTATGAGAGTGATATATGCCTCCATCCATGAGTTTGGTATCTTCGCCTCTAGTAATAATTCATTAAATACTTCCAGCATTGTGTTGGTGTACAATGCTGTATAACCAACACAATTGTTGCTTGTAACGTTTTATATAACTCTACTGGTAATCCATTTGGGCCCGGCATTTTACCATTCTTTTGTCTTTTAATTGCCTCTATCAATTCCATCTTTGTTATCCTTTCCTCTAATGCCTTTTTAAATTTTTCTGGTATTTTTGGTAATATTTTTAGATATTGTTTTTTCTCCAGAGCTTCTTATAATCCTGAATTATTATTTCCCCCTCATTTTGATAACATACAGTCCTCTTTATCAGTTAATTGATAAATTAATTTATTCTCTTTCTCTTTTTTCAATTTGTATGCCAGCCATCTTCCTGGTTTATTTGCATTTTAAGAAATTGTTTGGAGGTCTTAATTTTAAATGCCAAATCCTCTTTTTCTATTAAGTTCAATTTGTGTTTTTTTAGATCCATTTGATTTATTTTCTTATTTTGTGTATCTTTTTTGTAATTCCATCTCTAGTTTTTTATACTCCTATTTTTTTCTAAACTTGTCTTTTCTTATTGTTTCTTTTCCCCACATGTCATTGCCAGTCCTTTAATATATGCCTCAGTTGTATCTCACACATTTTGTAGTGAGGGATCCATATTGAGGGTCTAGGACAAAACTTGCCACCTCTAGCTCGCTCTGGCCAGCTCAATCTGACCACTTTGCCTGACTTGATATGGGACAATTCCTTTTATTAGTTACATCAATCTAATGTGAGAATGCTGGAGCTGAGGGGAACCTCCTCTTTGTATCTCGGACTGAGGAAAAAAATGGGTGAGGAGGAAGCGGAGGCTCCCCTCACCTTTGGCATTCTCCCATGGTATCCCATCCTGAGTTGCTCTGTGGGCAGGGTGAGCCAGCTTTGGTGAGTTGTTCTATTCTGCCATACCGAACGATCTCAGCATGCTCCAGACAAGTCAGGGCTTCCCTGGTAGCGCCATCTAGGCTCTCCTCAGGTGCTTGAGTTAATCTCTGCCCAGCCCCTCCCCCCATTGATCTTTGTTCTGCCTCTCTGCAGTGCCCTCAGCCAGCATGACGCGCTTGGCCCGCTCACGCACAGCCTCCCTCTCCAGTGCCAGTTCGGTGGATGGCAGCCGTCCCAGAGCCTGCACCCACTCCGAAAGCAGTGAAGCTATGGGCCAGATCAACCACACCATGGAGGTGTCCTGCTGAGAATCCCCAATGCCTTCCTTTGGCCACCATCTTTGTTTGGAGAGCTGTGGCCATCCACCATTGCATCACTCGTCAGCTGCTGTTTATGCCGCTTCTTGTGGCTTCCCCTTGTCTGCCCATCTCTTCCAATGCCATTACAAAGTTGAAGCAGGAAGTAGCAGCTTCCTATCTAAGGCTGCCTTCCTGTTTGTTAGAGATGTCATTTTAGAGTAGCCGTGTTCCCTTGCTCCAATCTGTCCTTCACAAGCAGTCCATTGGTTCCTGTAGCAACAGAACTGGCCTGTTTCCCCCAGAGCCTGGAGGCAAGGAGGGCACAGCTTGGGATTGATTGGCCTGAGGGTATTTCCCCATTGGAGCTTCTCTGCTTGATGTGCCCAGCATTTCCCCAGCAAGTCTCCGCTCCTGGCCATTGGTGGGATGGAAAATGGCAGAGTTCAAGGCTAGTCTAGCCTTGTATTTGGAAGGTGATCTATAGCTCAAGTGCTGAGCCAGCTGCAGCTCTGGCAGACGCTTGGACTGCAGTTGATTCTAGCTGCTGGGTGCAGTCATGAAGGACAAGAACTGGGACAAGGCACAAGGCTTGGGAGCCGTAGGGGCTTGTGTGGAAAGGGACTGCCTGGATAACAGAGAGGCAGCCCCTGATGGAGGCCTTGCTTGAGGGGCTCACAGTGGGAGCAGCAGGAGCCTCTGCTCACAGGGAAGATCAGATCTGTTCTAAGAATTCTTTGAAGCCACTTGATCGTCTTCAATAGCCGGGTTCCCGCTCAGGGGATCCACCTCCTAGCAGCCTTCCTGCCCCCCCCCCCAGCGGTGGGGAGGAGTGCTGACCGGGGCGGATCAGCAGGGTCGGCACCTCCATCGAGGCGCTTAGATTAGAGCAGGTGGACATCGGAGCACCACAGCTACGCAGGCAGGAACCTTCCCGCACTTCTTGCACCTCCCCCTTAACGAGGCTAGGAAATGGGTCTAAGGGAATAAAGACAGGCCGGGGGGAAGATGGCAGGAGCCCCAGACAGGAAGATCGGAAGCTCTTTATCATTCAAAGAGGCTGCTAGTCAGGCCGATTCCCACGCGGCGGGGGATAAAGAGGACTCGGCCCCCTCCGGAGGGACCGCCTGGTTCATTTTGCGTGGAGCAGGGAGTCCCCGCGGAGAGTCTGGCTGGGCGGCCCCTTCGAGCCCCGGGCACCCGACTCTCCGCTACCCTGCGGCCTCGGGTTGAAAGGCATCCAGCCTCCGGCCTGGAACTGGCAACCTCGAAACAGCTTCCCGGGACGGGAGGGCCGCCCCTTCCTGTTGGTGGACGGCGCCTGCTGTCCGGGGAAGACCTGTGGGGCGGGTGGTGGTGGTCCGAAGGGGGAAGGGTCTCTCCCGGCACGTCGCGTCACCGTGATCGCGAGCATCTTCCTTTGTCTCGTTCCGGCTCCAGGGCGGAAACCGACCGAATTGTCATGTTTTGCAGCGCATTGTAGACTTGGAACCCATTAAACAACCGCATCTTTATTTCAGAGGCGGCTCTCGCTCATTTCCTCGCGGCGTTTCGTGGGGGGGGGAGACGGGGGGAGCGGGGTTCCTTGCTCGGCAGTGGGTCGCCTCGGGTATCCGGCCCAGATACCCAGCCCCGCTTCCTTCCGGCTTATTGCCCTTTCCTCCTCATCCGGTCCATTGCCCTCCTTCCGGGTTCCTCCGGCCTGCCCTTCCGGCCTCCTCATCCGGTCCATTGCCCTTTTTCCGGGTTCCTTCGGCCTCTCGCGAGCCAGTGGCCGAAGGCAATGGCGGAGGCGGCGAAACGACCCCGGCGTGGCTCTCCCACTGCTGCCGCGCGCGCCCTGCCTTCCTTCCTGCGCTGGTGCGCCGAGGCCGGCGTGCAGCTGAGCCCCAAGGTAGGCCTGCGCCGGAGTCTCTGGTGGGAGCGGGCGCCGCGGCTCTCGGGCACTTCTCACGTACTTTGCCCCAGCATCTCACCCCCCCCGCCTGTCTTCCAGCCTTCCTCCCGGGGCTCCGCTCTGGTCTCGGCGTCCGAGGTGGCGCCTGCAGGCGGCTTTTTCATGCCGCCCCTCTCGGGTCCTTCGTCCGAGGAACCTCTGGATGCGCCACACGCGCCTCGCCTTTCCGCGCGAGCAGAAGCCCGGTGGGCGGGTGCGGAGAGCCCTTGAAGTTCCGAGGCCGCGGGGTTTCATGGGCCGCGTCCTGCCTGCCTCCTTCGGGGCTCCTCCTCCTCCCTCCCCTGGGGTCTACGGGCGGTGCCTTGTGGGCGAGGGAGCCCCTCTCTCGGCCGCTGCCCTCTCCTGCTTGCAGGTCGGCGTGAGCCGCGAGGGCACCGTGGCCGCCTACGGGCTGCTGGCCAGGGAGAGCCTGGGCGCCGGCGAAGAGCTCTTTAGCATCCCCAGGACGGCGCTCCTGTCCCAGCACACCAGCACCCTCGCTCCCCTCCTGCGGAAAGGTACCGGCGCTGCTTGTGCTGAGGGCGGGATCAGAGCGTGTTTGGGGCCGCCGCCGGCAGAAGCGGTGGATCAGGCGCTGAAGGGGACCCGGCCTTCTGCCGTGGGGGTCGCTCGCCCACCTCAACCCCTGGAGGGAAGGTGGGCTGGAAGCTAAGAAGCCAATGCAGGTGTTCTGCCAAGGGGGGCGACTCCCCTGCCCGTTGTTCAGAGCTCCTTTGCACACACACACACCAGGGTGGTGGAGGGGGGGATTTGTTTCCCCCATTGATGTTCCTCCCCTTCCTTTTCTCTGCCTTCCCTAGAAGAAGCCTCCCTTCAGAGCTCATCAGGCTGGGTCCCTCTCCTGATTTCTCTCCTCTACGAATGCACAGTTAGCAATTCCCATTGGGGGCCTTACTTCTCTCTCTGGCCCCAGTTCACTGATTTGGATCACCCCATGTTCTGGTAAGAGGAGCTGCCACACTGGCTTCTTTACCCGTCTCCCGTGTTGTGTAGACGGTGTGAATGTAATAATAAACAGTCTGTCTTCAACAGCCATTAAAGCTGACTGTGTCTGGTAGCCATTTTAGCTGCTGCTTCCCAGAGGCCTCCTAGGTGTTTCTAAGACCCTTTCCACTCCTCTCTTCTGCTATCCTTCCTTCTGTTATGAAAGCTGCTTTCCATCAGAAGCTAAATTGAAATCTCTCAGCAGATACAAACACTGTGTTTACGTGTGAAATGGATGTGTGAAGAACTAGCAAGCTTTTCCAACCCCCATAGTTGCTTTTTTGAGGGGTGGGGTAGGATAATCCTATCCTATCCCACCCCGCAAAAAAGAAACTAGGATAGAATGACTTTATTTGACCAATTGTGATTAGAAACACAAGGAATTTGTCCCCTAATTTGGCATTCATCTCCAGTGAGAAAGCTGCTGTTTCTGCTGGCTCTCTTGTGCAGGGGTCCTGAAGAACGGGCACGGCTTCTGCAAGGGACAGGAATCCTTGAAGCTGTGGAAAAAGACTTGGTCAATATTGAGATGGAGTATTCCTCTATCATCTTGCCATTCCTGAAGGCCCACCCAGATCTCTTCAACCCAAAAGTGCACACACTGGAGCTCTATCGGAGGCTGGTGGCATTCGTCATGGCTTATAGGTAAGAGGAAGAAGCCTTTCTGAGGCTGCCAAGGACTGGCAGCAGATGATCCCTCAGCTGCGGGGGAGGCACTCCAGAGGTCGTAGATCTCAGCCGACTCATCGCGCACCAAGCAGGAGCAGCCCAGCGGGGTGGCTGAGAGCAACGTTGCCAGGAGGGCGAAGAGACCCCTTGATGCCAGCAGCAGCACGAGCAGTCACTCGTGCCAATAGCTGCAAGTGAGTGGCAAGCACGTCAAAAGCAAAAAGTAGGACTCGGCTCTTTCCTGAAATGTGTTTGCAGCAGCTACTGGACACGGAGTGGGCAGCCCCGTGCCTCTGTTTGCTGCCGGTGCTATCCTGGCATATTTTGGAAGGGAAATAAAATTAATTCCTGCAATCTCTCACCGCCATTGTGCAAACCCAAGCAAAGGGAATAGCATCTGTGCCTTCTCCCTTCCAAAACATGCCGGCATGTGATCTGAATAAGACCTGGCTTGACCAGCTGTTGAAATGCCTCCTGGCTCTTTCCCGAAGGGAGGGTGGCTCTTCTCTGCATTTTGCCGCGTTCTGCAGTGCAACAGGCAGCAAGTAAGTCCTGTTTTTAGTTTTCGATGTGCTAGCCGCTTGCTTGCAGCAATTGGGACCACTGCGGGTGGCACCGGCAGTAGGCAGAGGCTTGCTTCTCCCCCTCTGCTTTTCTCCTTCAGTCCAGCCTAGCCCTCCACCCAGCAGCTAAGGATGAGGGGCTCACCCGCCTTTCTACGAGGTCTCTCAGGAGACACTGTGTGCAAACAAAACAAAGCACATCTGGGCGCCCTTTCTGTTTGTTCCCCATTCCTCTCTCGCCTCTTCTCCCTCCCTGGGAACTGTGTTGGGGGGAGGAGGGGAAGGCCATCCCGGGGAAAGAATGAAGCAGCCCCGCTGCTGGAGCCCAGAATTTTATGGCAGAAAAGAGAAGGGGGGGGGGCGGATTTCAAAGGTCCTGGAGAAAAAGAGCAAAGCCCTTCTGTTTGCCGTCCGGAGCGGGTGCTGAGGCCAATCCTATGGGAAGCAGTGTGCTGCTCCATGCAAAGCCTCACAGTGGAAGGAAGAAAGGGAGAGAGAGTGAGAGATCAAACCTCTGCGTGTGGGGGTTTCTGTGTGGGGGAGAGGTATATGGTAACTCTCTGAGGTTGGATCAGATCTCTCTCTTTCTCTCTCTCTCACACAAACACACTCTCACACACACTCTCTCACACACACACCCCTCCCTAACCTGCTTTCCAGCTCCATTCTCCACGACTGCAACGAATCTCCTAAAAAAACATTGTACGGTAGTTGAGACCTTCCAACTTCTCATGGAAAAAAAAATCTCACAAAGTTGGAAGGTCTCAACTTTTTTTTTTACACCGTACTCCCACAGACTTGTTCCTCTGCATGTGCAGCGGAGAATGGAGCTGGAAAGCAGGTTAGTGAAGGGATACGGCTGTGAATGGGACGGCAACGGGCGAGGTTGTGTGGCTTCACCACCAGCCCCTCATGAACGGGCCTTGGCAGCCTGGCGGCGCTCAGGTTTTCAGAGGTTTTTGATTGGATCTTGGTGGTGGGCTGGGCCGGGTGGAAGGCAAGGTGGTTGCAGGGCCAGGCAGGCATCAAAGGCAACTAAGGGCAGCCCCATGCAGCCCCATGCAGCCCTCTCGCACAGCTGGTAAGAGAGCTGCAGCTCCCGCCAGGGTCCGAAGACCATTGAGCTTAGCATGGATGAGTGGTAAGCCTGGTGTCTGCAGTACCGAATAGGCGTGCAGCCTGGCGCTCAGCAGCCCAAAGGCAGCAGTGGGCAAGGCAACACAGGCAGCCGCTCCCGAAGGGGCCCTGGCAGGCTGGCGGTGCTCAAGACGTTTTCGGAGGTTTTAAATCTGGGATGATGCAATCCGATCAGGCAGGTCATGCAGCGCTTCCGATAGCAGTGCTGCCAGGAGGCCGAAGAGGCCAGCAGCAGCATGGGCAGCCCTTTGGCCATTTAAAGAATTGTGGATTTCAACCCCCAGAACTCCCCACAGTCCCCCCCCCCATCAGTTCCTTCCCCTTTCTGAGTTGGGGTTGGAAGTTTGAATGCACCCCACAAGGGAGCCTCCACCCTGGCGGACGGTTGTCTGCAAAAGCTGAGATGGACAGTCGGAGGGAGGGGGGGAAGGGAACGAGAAAGCACGCACCTTTCTCAGCACAAAGCTTCACAGAAAGCAAATCAAACCGTGATGAGGGGAGGTGATTTTCCTGTGATTACGGTGTTAAAAGTTAACATGAAATGTTACCTGTGGAGGCCTCCTGGTGCAACATTGTTGCAGCTTTAGAGCATACCTACCCTGCAGCGGATTGCAAGGCTGGAGACTTTGCCTTGCTCCGATCAGCAGGAAAATCTCCTCTCCGCCCCCCCCCCCCATTTCCCTGCCAGTCATTCTATCCTTGGGGAGCTCTGCAGAGACATCCAGAAATGCTCCCTCTGGAGCCTTCAGCCTTGCAATCCTGCACAGGGAAGGCGGAGGTTTGCTCCAGAGCTGTGGCAGGGCATTGCACTGGGAGGCCTCCACAGAATGAGAGGTAGCTCCTGGCCAATGGCTCAGCTGATCTGCAGGCAGCAATTAAGGTGCCTAGCTTTCAGGGAAGGGATGCCTCCTGTGCTGGCCACGCCCACTCCTTCACTTGACCTCATTTTTCAGGGGGAGGGCTTATTTTAGCGCATATGCTAAAGCCCGATTGGCCTTATTATCCAAGGAGGTCTTCGGGAAAACATGGTAGTTACAGCAGATTTTGGGACCCCTCAGCTGCCCTCCCTCTTATCTGCCTCAGTGTAATTTTGTTCTCCTTCAAGAGCTTCAGTCACCTGTTTTTCATTTGATGCAGTTTCCAAGAACCTCTGAATGAGGAAGAAGAGGAGGAAGAACCTAATCCTCCAGTGATGGTGCCCCTGGCAGA